TGCAGATAGGTTCTGGAGGGGTACGGTGCAGACTTGTCTGGGATGACTGTCCCTAACTGAAAAGCCCCACTGCTTCTTCACCAGGAGCAAGTGGCTCAGTTAATGGCATTAGTATTAGATCTGTTGGACTGAATTCTACAAAATGAAAACTTACAAGACAATATGATGTGATTGAATCACAGTGGAATTTACGGAGCTGATTTAGAAGTGTCTTTTGTTTCCCAGCATCATGAAGCTTTTTGCTACATGTATTTTGTTTGTCGGTATTTAATGTATTTTTATGCTATTATGGTGAAATTTTGATGTCAGTGATATTGAGATTACATGTATATTGATGATTTACTTCCTATCAAGCACTGTTTTAAGTGTTCACAAAAATAATCAAAATGTAAAAAGTTCTAGAGCGTGTGGATATTAATCTTTTAGATAAACGTGCCTTAGTAAAATTCTGCTTCAAGTCAAGTGACAAGTTGATCAAGCAGTTGACTTAGGATAATTCATTGATACACATCCTGCCTTTTACTTGTGTGCCATTCTATAATTTTAGGAAAAAAGAAGGGAAGGGAAATCATATATAATCCTAAGCAGTTCAGGAAAGAAGAGGAGGGAAAAGATAAAAATGTTCAAAGTTTGACTGTCTTCTTCCAGTGCAGTTAAAAAGATTCCAAGAAAATATGTGAGTGACGGAGAAGGACTAATAACAGAGCCTGCATTTACTGAAGACACTGTGTGTCAGGCTCGCTGCTAACTGATCTGTGTCTCTTGGAAGGAGTTGGTGCTTTGCAAAGATTTTTTTACTGGTGATTTATTGCAAAGAGCATTGAACTATATCTCCAGCCCAAAAATACTAGTTTTTCTTTATTTTTTGAGACAAGGGCTTGTGAAATTGCCCAGGCTTTTAATTAGCAATCCCCTTGCCTCAGCCTACTGAGTTGCTGGGATTACAGATATCCCCTGAAAACCTGCCACCTCCCCGCCGGCCCTGGCCAATGCACCTTGCACAGCCAGGTTGAATGGTGTGAACAGTCTACGAGCTGAGCAAGATGTGCTTGCAGACCCAGCACCCAGTACCGCATTGACCTGCTCAACCCTGTAATTTACCATTCCAAGTCCTGCAGTCAGAATAAGGAAGAGTTTCAGGGTTTGCAGGCTCAGTACCACAGTCAGAAGCTGGAGTGTGATTTGCTTGCTAGTGAGAAGACTGTCATGCAGCAACACTGTATCATTTATTATGAAATGTCCTATGGGTGAACTTAGAAATGCACAAGCAGGCAGAGATTGTCAAGAGGCTGAATGCTGTCTGCGCCCACGTCATTCCTTTCCTGTCCCAAGAGCACCAAGTGATGCAGGCTGTGGAACAAGCCACGCAGGTGACCATGGCAGAAATGAACGCCATCATTTGGCAGCAACTCCAGGCTCAGCGTGTGTCGCATGGACATGGTCTGCAAACACCACGACAGTGATCATCAAAGGGACAGAGAGTCCTCCACGAGCTCCTTAGTATCCCCCATCTCCAGTTTCCGAGGCCTAGAGAAGCACAGTAACTCCATCGACTACTCCTCCCTAGAGAGCAAAAAATAGAAAACTAAAGAAAAAGAAATTGCAGCTCATTATGACAGCGATGGCGAGAAGAGCGATGACAGCTTGGTGGTGAGCATTTCCAATGAGGATCTGTGTGTGTGTGTGTGTGTGTGTGTGTGTGTGTGTGTGTCCCACCCAGGAAGCCAAACACATTCCCCTTGAAACAATGTCTTGGACAAGACTCCCTGTTCAAGGAAGATGCCCAGTCAGCCCCGCCTCCATTGCATCTTCCAGTAGCATCCTTCCTCCAAATCCAAAGAACTCAGCCTTCATGAAAAATCTACTACACCTGTGTCAAGGTCTAATACCCTACTCCACGACAATACCCTACTCCATGAACCGATGTGCCCAGGCAATAACTCCACTCCCAGACTAAGGTGTGTGTCTGGAAAACCGTCAGGAGTGGATGGACCTCTTGGCATCTAGCCTGAGGATGCCGATGGCTGGCCCTTGTCCATATCCAACTTCATTTAGAATTGTACCTCTCACTGGGACGAATAAGCTGACCAGCCCTGGAGCCATCAAGCCGGCCTACATAACATCTCCCAGCAGATGAGCATGGCCGCCGCCACTGCAGAAGATCACCAGTGGTGCAGTTTGATCCACATCATCGCATGCGTGTGTTAGTGATATCTCTGAACCTGACTGGCATCCTGGGAGGAAAGCCAGCCTGCTCCTTCCATGTTAGTGTGGACGGCTGGATGCAGCCAGTTCCCTTTCCCCCACTCCATCCCTTTATCGGACCTGAAATCCTCTGTCATGCCCACCAGATTAAGAGGCTCAATTACAGGGAGGTGGTGTGCACGGTCACCATCAGACCCCACCAGACACCTGTACACAGGCAGCAAGTACTGGGTCAAAGTGTGGGACATCAGCCACCCCAGCAGCAAGACTCCTGTCTCCCAGCTGGACTGTCTGAACAGGGATAACTACATCCGTTGCTATAAACTGCTCCCTGATGGTCCAACCATAATTGTTGAAGGGGAAGCCAGTACCCTGTCCATCTTTGACCTGGCAGCTCCAACCTGGTGCATCAAAGCAGAGCTGACATCCCCCGCCTGAAATGCCCTGACCATCAGCCCTGACTCCAAGATCTGCTTCCGGTGCCGCAGCAATGGCAACATTGCCGTGTGGGACCTGCACAGTCAGATGCTGGTGAGGCAATTCCAGGGCCACACAGATGGAGCCAGCTGTATTGACATTTCTAACGATGGCTCCAAGCTCTGGAAGGGCAGCTTGGACAACAGTCAGGTCCTGGGACCTACATGAGGGGCAGCAGCTGCAACAGCACGACTTCACCTTGCAAATCTCTGGGCTACTGTCCAACCAGAGAGTGGCTTGCAGTGGAGATGGAGAACAGAAATGTGGAAGTGTTGCACGTCACCAAGCCAGACAATACCAGTTGCACCTCCATGAGAGCTGTGTGCTGTCCCACAGGTTTGTCCACTGTGGCAAGTGGTTTGTGAGCACTGGAAAGGACAATCTTCTGAATGCCTGGAGGACACCTTATGGGGCCAGCATATTCCAGTCCAAAGAATCCTCATTGGTGCTGAGCTGCGACATCTCTGTGGACGTTTAAGTACATTGTCACTGGCTCAGGAGATGAGAGGCCACAGTTTATGAAGTTACTTAATGAGGACAAATCCTTATGCAAACCGGACTCCTCCTCTACGTAGCACTTTGCACTCTGATCTTTTTGTTTGTTTGTTTTGTTAACTACCTACCCTTGCATCTAAAACTAAGGGTTTCAAATACTCTGCATTATGAAATTTAATTCCCTTCCTTAACCCACTTCCTCCTTGCTATTGAATTGTGAATACTCTTAAGAACCTGTGATACCAAATCTTCAGCTGTTTATTTGGAAGAACATGGAATAAGCATTCTTACTCTATTTGTCATACATTTATTTTGTTTAAAGAAGGCTAACAATGACTGACTAAATAAAGCTGTCTGTTCCTGCATTGATTAACAAGGATGCGTTGTATTTGATACACTTCCCTCCTTTTTTTTTTTTTTTCTTTTCTTTCTTTTTTTTTTTTTTTTCTTTTGGTAAAGAAAAGAGGGAAAGGTTTAAAATAATTGATTAAAATGTCACTAAATGTAGACTATTTGACTATAGAGATGTGAAATGTGTAATTACACATAGAAGCAATATGTTGCTGTGATATTGGGGGGAGTTATTCTTTTTTCTACTTATTTTAAAGATACTTGGAAAGATACTGGCTGAACAGTTGGAACATGACAGGCCAAGTCATATTCACTATTTGGACAATTTTAACCAGTATGCCGGTAGCTTTAGATGATATCCAGTACCAGTAACTGGACATTTTCTTTCTTTCAGCTTGTTGACAAGTGTCTTAGTAATATGTTTTTAATTCCCTTTTAAAAATTGTTTATAGACAGATAAACATGTTACATTGGGCCTTAACGAGGGAACTTAATCCCTACTGGATGTTTTTGCCACCTTTCTTTGCAAAGGGAGATGTGTATCTTTGTGCAGTTTTGTTATTCTGAGGAATTATGGGCTGTTTTGTGGTGTGCTCTTTGGGAGCTACACAGACACAGGAAGGATGCCTACCGCTGTGCGAGTCAAGTCTTTCACAAAACAAGGACAGCAGAGAAAAAGGCCTGTGAGACCTCCCTCCGCAAAACACAAAGGAACGCACTTGGTCTGGCCTGAGGACTGCTTTCTTTACCTCTGGTTCTTTCCATGTCTTAGTTGGATGTCTCTGAAGTGGATGCACGCTGTGCCACTGTGCCAGAAGCACTGCGTTATCTTTTATGTTGTTGTTGTTGCTGTTAAACTATAATATGTGACCCCTTTATTTTAATTATTATTATTTTGTTTGAATGCTTTAAAAAATTTTTTTTAAATTTGTGGATCTGCAGATGTACAGTGCCTTTGCTGCGTTGGATCCAAATCCAAAGAACCATGTAGATAAACTTTATTGTACACGTAGAAAATTAATTTCAGGGCTGGGGATTTAGCTCAGTGGCATGAGCACCTGTCTTGCAAGCAGGCAGTCGTGAGTTCGATCCCTGGTACCGATAAAAAAGAAAAAAAAAAAAAAGAAAATTAATTTCATACTAGAAATGGATGGAGGCTGCAAGCTGGAATGGACTGTCCATTGCTGTTCCTGATGCGGTAGCAGAAAAAGATGGTGTCTTAAGTGCTTAGTGTGTGGTGTCATTAACAGTTTTATAAAACTCTGCAGTGCAGAAAAATTTTGATACTAAACTGTGCATTGTACATAGTTCTAAAGTACTATATTGACCACCATACTTCTATAATGGTAGATTGTTTGTACATTCAGACATTTAAGCATGAAACAAAAATAACTTCTAAAAAAAAAAAACCCAAACAATATTTAGAAACCATGTTACTTATGCGTTTAAAGCTATGTTCTCTTGTATTGCAGTTCCTCAGTTTGAAACCATGTGTAGTTATGTGGACGCTACGCTTGAAGAATTTCTGACCTGGAACTGTGACCAGTCTAATAGTTTTGGACCTTTTAGAGATTATGATCATTCGAAATTCTGGGCGTATGCTGATTATAAATATTTTGTCAACCTATTTGAAGACAATTCAGATGTTTTCCAGGTAAATAATACTGTGCATTCTTTTTAATCTCATTAAGAATTTGAGAAAAGATCCTAAATTGGAATGTCCCTGCTGCCTTCTTCCTTGGCTGTCTTCGTCTTCTGTAAGTATTCCCACCTGGAGCATTTTACCCAGTGGAGCCAAAAGATCTGCTCAAGGGATGGGCAACATTGGGCTCACACAGGCGAGGAGTCTTCTCTGCTCACCCTGTCAACTGTACTTCCTCCGCCACACCTCTCCTTTGCCTTTAAACACTGCTCCAATGGTGTGCAGAACACCAGAAGCGTAGATTATATTAAAAAAAAAATCTCTCATTTCCTGCTGACCTATATTGAACGTCTTTAGGTGCAAATCAGATTCTATAAAAGAGCACTTCTCAGGTAAGGATCAGGCCACCTCTACCATCACCATCCCCTTGGGAGTTTAGTACAGCTGTGGATTTTTTTATATATCACACCAAGTTAATGAGGGGTATTTCCTTAAAGCTTCATTAGCTGCAGGATAGAATCTGAATCTAAAATGGACAAACTCTTTGTACTCTTATAACAAAATCCATTAGTCCTTGCACAGAACGAATCTTACATAATATTCAATGGACTTTTTGGAAAATGCTAACTTACTAAATCACATAGATCTTGCATATGATGATATATTTCAATGTACATGATAGTGTTGTTTTAAAAGTCACATCTGTTAGTATGACCAGCATTCTCATTAGAAATGTCGTAGTATTAGAAAGCTTTCAGGTTTGTATATCTCAAGACTATCTCAAGGTAAAATTTCCAAATCCATTATTACTGAGTTCAAAATATTTGTTAATTTTTTTTGTGACTTTGATTATTTAGAACTACAATGTTTTATTTTGAAATATTTGGGGGAATTCACCCTTCCTGTGACTTGACAGAAGCCATCCTGGGTCTGGGAGGGGTATAACAAGCCAATTCACCCTTCCTGTGAGCCACACAAACCACGTGTGGCCCAGAAAGAGAGACCAGCCAGTTTGCCCTTTCCTTGCAATATTAAATTACAGTATCTACTGAAGCACCAAAGAACTACATTGCTACCCTGAGGACAAAAGGCATATTGAAAATGTCTTCAATATATTACAAAGAAATCTTTTCTTTAGATCATCAAGCAAGATAACCTCATTCTTTGCCTTTAAATAGACATTTAGTACTATTTCACGCACAAAAAAAGTCGAAAGAAGTGACATTTCAGTTATCACACATCTTATAAAAAGAAACAAAAGACAAGATTTCAAAGAATATCCTTAAAGCTTCAGCTTTACTGGTCACAAATCAGGAGCTCTCTGACAGTGCAGTCATAGTACTTGGATTTGAAGGGTGCTACTTGGGTGCCCACCAGACAGTTCTAGTAAGCCAAATCAATGATATCTTGCACAAGATTTTTTGAATGAAACTTCCCTTTACAATATTAAAGTGTTCAATAGTTCTCTTCCTTTTGGGAAACTATCCCTGTTGTATACAGTGTTGCTTGATTGCTTTAGGTATGTCAGTTGTTCCCCTCCGTCTACCTTTATCTTATCCATGTATAAAAGCTCTTACATTTTCAAATAAGGCTCATTGGTGTTACTTTATTCAAGATAACATGTCCTACCATTTAATAACACTTTCCTATTGTTTTTACTGAGTCTTCATTTACTTTAAAATTTAAATCAAATGTTTATAGAATGTATTAAATCTTCGTGGGAATATAAGAAACAGATTATGGTAAATGTTAAACTGATGTTATATACTACCAAAGGATTACATTTTTGGCTTTTTAAAGCTGTATTATTTTAGTAAGTACTAGAACCAAGTTTCTTCAAATAATAATAATACATTCCTGAATTGCACCTATCAAAAAAGAAAAGGAAGGAAGGGAAGAAGTAAATAAATAAATATGTGGGGTTTTTCAGTCTTTCTTTCTGTTACTGATTTTTTATTCAGTTCCGTTGTGGTCAGAAACATATTTGGTCAGTTCTTTTAAATTTAATGGAGTTTGTATTATGGTCCAGAATAGTTATCTTGGTGAATGTCCCATGTGACTTGACAATGATGTCTGTTCTGTGGTGGGAGGGGTATTTTATCAATGTCAGTTGAGTCATGTTGATAGTTCAAGTCTCCTGTATATTTACTGGTTTTTTATATATTCTACCCATCATAGGGAGAGAGGGACTAACTCCCCTCCCTTGTTGATAATTATATGCTTGCCTTTTCCCTATTTTATGTTGGTAAGTTTTATGTCATACATTGAGAGACTGTTACTAGATTATCACACATTGAGGGTTATGATGTCCTCTTCATGAAGTGACCTTTCGTCATGATGTAGTGACCCTCTCTACCTTGGGTTTTTCCTTACTCTATTGTTTGCTTTGTTCAGTTTGCCTTTGATTAGTATTTATATCAAAAAATACTACACAACTCTGTATAATTCTAGAACTTGCAAACTGTACTGACAGAATAGATGACTGGTGATCTGAGAACCACTGTGTGGGAGAAATGGATTGTGAGGGGACACTGGTACGCTTTGGGACATGATTAAAATGTTTGTCGTCTTGATTGTGATGCTGGTTTCTCAGATATACACTAGTATTTTTTTTAATTTTATGAAATTATGCATCTTAAGTGTGTATTATTTATTGTACAGTAAAGCTTTGTATTTGCTTTTTGCTTTTGTTTTATGGTAGTCGGGATTGACCCTAAGGTCCTAATACCTTCAGCTATTTTGGTTACTTGTTTGTTTCTGAGACAGTCTCCCTAAGTTTCTGTGTTGTCCAGGCTGCTCTTGAATGTGTAGTCATCCTGCCTCCGCCGTCAAGAGTGCTAGGATTTTTTGAAATCCAGTGCTAATAGTATACTTTGGTCCCATTGTCTTGACACCAACAGTTTCACCCGCATTGCTTTTGTACCATCAGTGAGACCATCAACACAATGAAAAGGCAGATAACACCTTAGTAGTACTATGAAAATAGTTTTGACCTCACAGATCTGCAGAAAGGATCTCCGGGATCCTCTGGTATCAACACCACTTCTTGTAATCACAGTACCCCCAGTTCTTACTCCTCCTCTAATTTCAAAAGTTCGTTAGACAGATACTCTTCAAGTCATACACCAGTTTAAATATTAAAATGCAGGATTCATGTCCACAAATGCTTTATGACTTAAAAGTATGTAAGGATAGCATTTAAGACCCTCCCAGTGTCTGGTGTGGCTGTCTGGTCTCCTCGTGCGCCCCTGGGCACGCTGCATCCTTCTCACCTCCCAGCCTTTGGCCGTGTCCTTCTCAGCTTCTGCCTATTAAAGTTCCATTTAGGGTATAGATCAGATTCGGCCTTGGCCACAAAGCCTTCTCAGCCGTGGTAACCACATCCATCTGCCCTTTGCCTTCATTCTTATGTTAAACGGTGCACAGCATGGAATGCCTGTGACTTGTTCTTACGATACTATAAACTCTTTGGCCTGTATGTTATGATTTTGTATTGCTTAAAACTGTTGGTATAGTGCTAAATATGTAGCAGAAAATGTGTTGACTTAAACCTTTGATTTGCCCCTTGTCAAATTTTCTGTGGCTTCTAGTTAATGATGTGTAGCATTTGTCAGTCTTGGTAAGAAAGTCCTAGCTCTCTCATCAGCCTTCTGCTGATTTTGTAAGTTTTTACTTACAATTTCTATTTGAAGTTCTTGTCTATTAATCTTTTTCTTTTAGAAGTTAAATGCACTTTAAATATATATTATGCCAGCGATTTAGCTCAGTGGTGTAAGTGCCAGACTGACAGGCACAGGTCATGAGTTTAATCCCTAGTACAAAAAAAAAACCTATAAATAAATTATACTATATACAGATAAGTATATAAATATATCTCAAATATATATAAATATACTGATACAAATGGAAAGTATTTGGATTACCTTCAGATGGCCTAGAATTACGTGTTTTTACATTAATTTTTCTATATGACCAATGAAAATAATGTTAGTTTTTAGTTATACATCCTATGATTGACTACCTAAAACAATTTTAAATGTTTTGTTGTCTGCATACCAAGGAAGGTAGAGAATTTAAGACAGTACCAAATAATGTTTCTTTGTCACTCATTTGGTAAGAATGACAAGTTTTATCCTTTACAGTTATCAATAAGTATTTTCATAAATTGAAGCTATTAAGAATCAGTGTGTAGCAAGAAGACTTTAGCCCCAAGAATATTTCTCAGGCAGGTTTCATTTTGTATTATGACTAGGATTGGCTGTGCAGAGTTGGGAGCCTTCTTACCATGGAGCCACCATGTTACAGAATCCCAGAATGCAGTAAATGGAAGATTACTTCTAATTTGCCTTGGACTTTAACCCATAGTAATAAGAATATGTTGAAATCAAAGTGGGTGGCTCAGTAATGATGAAAGGGATCCGATGACCAGATCTCATTACATTATCTGGTCTGGGCTCAAATTTGCAATCCTTTGGCCTCAGCTTCCCAGAATTCTCGGATTACAGGCATGTCCTATAATGCCCAGTTTACATTTTCTTAGAAAAAAAATTTTTTTTTGTTTTATTGCTACTGGAGTTTTAGTCTCTTAGATTTTTTAACATGTTGGGGACATTTTAAATGAAGAATTTTTGGTGCTGATTTCCATTGTTTATGTACCTACAGTCTCCAAATATATTGCTTGGGGTAAGAACAGAGGCCAGGAATTGACAACCGAGGAGGACCAGAGGGTAATGGAAGTGTTCTCTAGTCTTGATCATTGTAAGATACAGTGGTGTGTACATTTGTCAAAACTTGTTGATCTCTATTCCAAAATGGTACATTTTATGATACATAAATTTTACCTCAATGAAATTAACTAGAAAATAAAATTTGTCAATGAAAAAAATACAGTTTCCAAATACTCCATTTGTTGACTTTTGTAATATCTACCATACTAATCCTTATCCTTACAAGTATAAATAGAAGTATTAACTGTTAATGCATTGACTTCTTGCTGAGGGTCCAAGACAAAG